TTCACACCAACGAATGGGATAAAAGGTAAGTTATACCTATTCACCCGGTATGTGCTATCAAAAACTACAACATCCCCAAATGCATCATAATCGATACGGGATTGAGGGTCCGACCAAAATAACCGTTTCAAACGACCAGCTTCATCCGTCTCATACTCAAAAAAGAACTCCATGTCATGTTTTTGCCTCCATTGAAAATACTTTATAACACGCTCTGCATCACCACCTAAAATATGTTTCTTCCTTAGCCTAGTAAAATAGTTGTACAGGTCCCTACTAACAAAACCTGTAGCATCAAAACCACCATGATGCCTCTCCATGACATCCATAACTTGATGCTGACGCAAACCCACTTCTTTCAATTCCAAAATATTAGCCTTTTGAGCATTGCTAATTGTGCGATGTGACCGTAAGAAAGCTACTTCATCTGATTTAGCCAACGGATGATTATGCTTTGCTACATACTTCACAACAAACCAATCACCTTTCTTCTTGTCAAGTTTAATCTCAAAAAGTGCATTACAACCACATCTAGTAAGAGCTTTTGGTTCTCTACTTCTGTTAGCCGCTTCCATATACACTTCTTTCCTATGTCCTTCTCTAGAGCATTGGTACTGCCTATGGGTTACCGCAACAGTAATAGGATCACGTCTAATGTAATTCTTCCTTACACTAAACCCTTTTTCTTTGGCATACCTGTTATAGAAGAGGAAACCTTCTTTCTCTGTCTTAAATCTCATGGCAGTCATTGTTCTGTACTCCTCTTGTTCTTCTAAGCTTATAAAATTGTCTCCCATTTCATCACCCATACAAGTTCTCTAAAAAGAAAACACATAATACTCAGAAATCATCTAAAATCAACAAACAAACTGCTACCTATCTCTTGGTTCTAACAAAAAAAAAATTAGACCACAAGAAAATCACATACCTGAGAGGAAACCCTAAACCGGTAGGGGGCATATGCTGCTTGAGTTGTCCAGGGGGATAGGGGCAAAAAATACCCACGGCACCGTCGCTCCTTGCGCAGATGGATGGGCACTGGATGAGATAAGAAATCGGTAACGGTGGGGGCGTGAATGAAGCCGCTGGTGAAGGAGTGTTGGTTCCCCCGCCGCGGACGGCAGATGCGGGGCCAGCAAGCGAGCGCACAGGCGGGGGCGTGGATGCGGGGCGGGCAGATTTGGGGCGAGCCTGCGCGCAGCTCAGGCGGGCTTCGCACGGGCGGGGCTGTGCTCGCCGAGGGGAGGAAAAAAAAGAGATTAGATGAGAAAGCGGCGCCGCACGGAGGGAGGAAACGAGAAAGAGCGAAAAGGAGAAGAGGGGGCGCGACTACTTTCTCTGTTTTCCAATCGTACCCTTCTAACATGGACGGATGGATTTATCTCTGTACCTCCCAGTACCAGTACCTACCGGTACAAGTTGCTGGATGGGAGCAACGCTCAAAAAAAAAATTGCACGCCGTCACGCAAAAATTTGTCCACTAGAATAGTAGATTAAGCATGGGAGATGATATATCGTACTACTATGTACTCATGCACATTGCTAGAGAGGTTGCAAATACAGTGAGCATATTCAGGATTACAGAGCAGATACAAAACATGGTGAAGCATCGAATTTTGCAGAATTTTCAACAAATGGATGTAGCCAGTTTTAAGTGAAATAACAAAAAAAATTATTACATGTAAAAAATCGTAAATATAAAAAAATTTCTATAACATCTAAATTTAGTGTATTGTAAGTGAGTGTAAATTTTTTTAGAATCACACAGTACAACGCAGACACTCACAACGCATGTACGCACACTCACCCATGAACGCACGCACGCAAATCCTCCCCCTATGAGCTTGTGTATGTGAGTGTAATTAACTGCATTGTTACTACAAGTTAGATATATAGAAGAACACAAATTTTGATGTAAGATCCTACAAATTAAAAAGTGAAAGATAGGAACTCAAAATCATTCATGTATGAGGACGCAGTGTGTATCGTCTTTGCCCCTATCCTCCGATGGCGCTGCTGCATTTTCCTCCTCCTCCGCTACCGTCGCGCACCGCAGTCGTTTCCGCCTCCCATGCAACATCACCGTCGCCACCTCTGCCATGCATGGGCAGATCTAGATGCGGCACGATGGCTGAAATGGTTTCTCCGTAGTGGCGTCGTCCGGTGGCGTGGCCACGGCGTTGTACGAGCTCTGCAAGCTCTAGCTACCGGAGAACATGCGTCAGAGATCGTGAGTGCCAGCCAGGGTGGCGCCCGCGCTGATCACCTACTTCGCCGCTGCCGACTCTGCCCGCGCCGCGGAGGTGCTCGTCGTCTTCGCCAAGTCCAGCGAGAGCCGCCACGAGCTCTCCAGTATCCCTAGCATCGTGGTCGTGCTCGCCGCAGACAACATCGCCAGCAGTGGCAATGCCCGTGCAATCAAGCGTGCGCTCGTCGTCTTCAATTGGATTTGTGCCAAGAGCAACGAATTGGCATGGGAGGCAATAAACCATGAGAAAATTCGATCCATAGCACAAGAAAAAACCCGATATCAAAAAATAGCACAACAAATTTTTCACTTCGACCATAAGCACAGGGCACCAATTTTCTTGCGATCCATAGCACTCCCGTTACATTTGTCATCCAAACATGTGAGTTGACATGAAAAAAAGACTTATTTGCCCTTCTTCTCCAAGCAAGAGGGCAATGGAGCTTAGACCGACGGCTCCCTCACGCTCCCCCCGTGTCGCCCACGCGCAGGCCACACGGGAACCCCCCCCCCCCAACCGCCTCCCACTCCCCCCTCCCCCTTCCTCACCACCGCCAGAGCTCACTGTCGGCAAAGTCGACTGGTGAGCGGCGATGGCGGCGGCGGGGGAGGTGGCGTTCGCCGGTGTCGGTGAGTGGTGGCAGCGAGGTCTCCCGGCTAGGCGGCGGCAGATCCGGCGCTGCCGTCGCCGGATCTAGCAAGGCCCTCCGGCTTCGGCGGTGGAGGGGGCCGCTACAGCGCGAGGCGGCGGTGACTCCAGCGCGCACGTGGCCAGCGGAGGGCAGTGCTCGGGCTGACACGTTGAGGCGGCCGCTGGCTCTGGTGGACAGCGAGACGCGTCGGAGCCAGCCGGGGTCTCCACCATCGGCTTCTCCGCCAGCCACCGAATCCCCTTCGTCCACGCTCCCAATGGCACCACCAGCTCCGTCTCCGCCCATTGGGTCATCGGCCTCAGCATCACCTCTAACGACGACGACGGCCTCACAGGTGGGTCGACCGCGTGCGGCTGCGAAGCGAGGCGACTTGGTTGACGGCGGCGGCGGTGGCGGCGACTGCTTGCGAGGTGTGGCGAGGCGACGACGGCGATGGCTGGAGGGTGGTTCGACCGTGCGCGGTTGGTCCATGCGATGGCTGCGAGGCACGGCGAGGCGACGACGGTGGCTCCTTGCTCGACCGCGCATGGCACAGTAGCTGCTCCGCACGGGGCTGCAACGACGAGATGACATGGTCGAAGGGTAAATTAGTCCGAGGATAATTTTTTCTACTGCAAACTAAAACCATTAGCTTAAAATACAAGGGAAGTGCTATGTATCGAAGGAAAATTGGTCTCCTGTGTTTCTGGTCGAAGTGAAAAATTTGTTGTGCTAATTTTTGGTACCGTGTTTTTTCCTGTGCTATGGATCAAATTTTCTCATAAATCTTGGGCTAAGTCGCTAAGAGGAATTCTTTTGAATTCCAAATCATCCAATTAATCTGAAATGCTCTATGACCTTTTTCTCTTAAATGGCTAGCTGTGAAATTCCAACAATGATCTAATTTCCTCTAATGATTACCAGTTTACCACACAAGATGTGCTTGCTTCTTTCGTATAACAGCGCCCTGTAAACCTGCTGAGGGAGCAAATATTCCAAATTTCCAATTGAAGTGTAAAAATAAACAATTCAACAGTTCCATGAAAGAAAAGAGCTATAAAAAATGTGTGAAATGACACTGGAGAAAAATAAAAGGCATACATAAAATAGAGGAACAGAGCAATAGTCGACTCTATCATATGATTTCTCTTAAATAGAGGAGCAGAAATGTTGTAACCGCATGGTGATATGACGACTTAACATAGCGAGAGGGAGCGGCTGCCGACGACGTCCGGCCGAGGGTCATTTTAACTCGAATACGTCGTAATATGTTGGATCAGAGAGGAGTGCCCGTAATCAGCGCCCTGGGATGTAGGGTACTGCTGAATCTCGTAAACAAATATCGTGTTTCAGTATCGTCATCGTGTTTGGATCTCCTATGATGTTTCTTTCTCGTTTGGTTTTCGATAATGATCTCGGACCGGTTTTATAACATAAGTCTTTTACGTGTTCGAGAAAAAAAAATGAAGACAACCTCCTTGCCATATTTACAAAGACTCTCTAGTTAGGATCTTGCTGAGGGGGCCAAAAAAAACCTCAATCAAGTTGCATTGCATGGCAACCATGAACAATCAACAGAACATGTTTACAAGAGATCTCTGCTCCTACCGGTGTCCTCATCGATCACTACGTTCTACATGGCGAGGATCGATGCAGTTAACGAGGTCCTCGGAGCTGTACCCGTCAGCTCCTGCAGCTCCGTGCTCCAGAGTCCAGACCGGTCGGGCCGGTTCAGCGAACACCTCGCGATGAAGATCGACGCCGCCGGCCGCCGCCTCCATGGACGGCAGGTAGCCCGCGGGCAGCCGTAGTTCATCAGTGACTGGTCGGCGATGTCGCGCTCCAGCCGCTGCACCCGTAGCTCTTCCTCTCCCCGGCTGTTATACCGGGTGAAGTGCTCCACGAATCCACGGTTGGGCCATAATTGTAGAGAGATCAGAGTACTAAAAGCTAGTAATTATAAATTTGAATTGATGAATCACATATATTTCAACCAAATAACACGCACAATTTTGAGTTTACAGATCAATGTACAGGCAACAGTGCAAAATTTAAGCCATCATATTCATGCCTTGCATGCTTGTGCTTTTACAGACTCTTTTGTTCTTCCTATACATGGGCTATGGATCCTCGAAGAAGTACTCTTGCAAAAGAGCAAAGCGAGGACATGCAATTTGACTGTATATGTCGCACACGCACCCCATCAAGTCGATGGCCTTGTAACCTGTCAGCTCCGCGAGATCATTGCTCCACGGCTCATGCCCCAGCTCGTGCAGCCTCGCCAGGAAGATCGACGACGCCGCCACCATGGACGGCAGGTAGCGGTGGAACCCGTACGTCAGCAGCGTCCCGTCGGCGACCCGATGCGCCGCCTCCTTCAACTGCTTCTCTTCTTCTCCGTCGCCGTAGTACCTCGTGAAGTGCTCCACGAACGTGTACGCCGTCGGGCCGCCGAGGTTGAAGCCCAGCGCGGCGAGCATCTCGGTCTCCATGATCGACACCATCTTGTGCCTCGTCTCGCTGGTGTAGCCGCACCGGGCGGCGACCATGCTGGCGTCGATCTTCCTCAGGGTGTACTGGTCCTCGTACTTGGCAGCGAGGAACACGGCCGTGGCCCCGACAAGGCGGAGCTGCAGCGCGTCGTCCGACTCGGGCGTCACCGACAGGTAGCGGTCCAGGAAGTAGGCGGCGCGCTGGAGCGTGCCGTCGGCGAGCTTGTTTTTCCGGCTGAACTCGCCCATGAAGGCGATCATCGAGGCGCGCACCAAAGCGCTCATCCGCCCACCCTGAGTCGTCTCCAAGAAGTACGGCGACGGCCGCTCCGCGGGGTTCGTCTCCATGGCACGGAGGGTGGCCTCGACCTCGTCGTCGTAGGGCGCGCACAGCTGCGGCCGTGTCGGCGCCGAGTTCTCGGTGGCCACGGCCACCGGCTGATCGGCGCGCTGCTCGGGTGGCACCGGCACGGGCTCCTGGAGGACGGCGCCGGTGAGCGGTGGAAGATCACCGAAGACGGGGAGGAAGCCGACGTAGGTGTGAGGGGTACGGGGGGAGTCCGGTGGCGGTGCAAGCGGATGCGGAGGCATGGCGGCGATGGTGCGGACGTAGGTGTCAGCATCCATCTGCGGAAGCGGAACGCCGCCGCCGCCGGAGTAAGGCCCAAACATTGCTGGGACCTGGGAGCGCTGCGTGCGTGTGATCAGCAGCAGCAAGAAGTCCGGCGAGGTCTCAACGGAAGTGAGAGGGAGAGCGAGAGGCGGCGGCTGGAAGAAAGTTTGCACGTACGCTCGTGCAGGTGGCGTGGCGCGGGGACGATGCATGGTGCCTCTCGCCTTTTATCGTGCATGTCATGGGTGTTAATCCGACTCCGATTTGATTAGGGTTAAGCGCGCGTGCTAACTACTAAGCCAAGATGATGTTGATTTTTAACTAAGCGCGTACTTAGGGCCTGTTTGGCACAGCTCCAGCTCCAACTCCACCCCTCTTGGAGCTGGAGCTCAGCCAAACAGTTTCAGCTCCACCAAAATTGGGAGTGGAGTTGGGTGGAGCTCTCTCACAAAATATACTAGAGTTGTGGAGCTGGGTTTAGGCAGCTCCACAACTTCACTACAGACAACTCCTGGAGTTATATTTAAAAGTTGGAGCTGTACCAAATAGGCCCTTAGTTCGGAATCCGCATGCGTGGCGCGTGACATGGCGAGCGTGCATGCGGCGAGCGCGGGAATTTCGTCCCAGGTTTATAACGAACTGATCGTCACACGTTTCAATGTGTTGTCTGACAAAATTTTGGTGCCTGACAAAATTGAACCTGTCATTTGTAGCTCTCGAGTGGCTGCAAAAGGATCCAAAATGTTACAATCGAGAGGGAGGATTGAAAGTGCGAGTGTTTCGGCCGATTGATTTGAAAAATTTTCATATCAAAACCGTTAGCGATAGGTTGGTTATAGCACTCTCGAAAGAATTCAGAGGACATGTTGACTTGCATATGAACTGTGCATTGGTTTGCTGCAGGCATGCATGCAGGGTTCGGTTTTAGAACTACTGTATTTTGGATTTTGCAAGTTCAGCTTTGGCTGGCACTAAAAACATTGGCATGATGCAGTTTTTGGTTTTACGATCATGCTACTTATTCAGAGGTCTGTGCTAACCTCCCTGTTGATGTTGATACGGATTTTGCATGTTCAGATTTGACTTTGTTTTTTAAAAAAAAAGAAAATCCAAAAAATATCATTGATAAACGTCTTATTCCAATAAATGATAAGTACGAGTTTAATGAAATGTTATCGTATAAACGACTTCATCCTAGAAATGTCATCAGCGTTAGGGTTCGGTTAGCAGTTTTCCGTTAATTGTTATAGGATGAACGGAACCCTAATGACGACGATATTTTGGGGGTAAAATCGCTTGTATGATGGCATTTTATGTAACTCGCATTCGTCGATGACATTTCTTCGACTTGGATGTTTGTCCATGGTATTTCTTGGATTTTGGGGTGAAAACGAGCCGCACAATCGGATCATGGTATTCATATATCCTAACTCATATTTTCCTTCAAATTCAGAATTGGTTATAGGTAGTATCGGGTAAAATTTCACTCATCCCATATTATTTCCTCCGAATTGGATTCGGAAACGGATACTATCTATTTGTATCTCTAATTGATAAATATTTAATATAAGAAGACGAGATATATCAAGGAGCAAATTGTACAATATTATACGTGAACTCGCAAAATAGTTACTAACCAATATTTCATCATGTTTATAGGTGAATTTATAATAGAATTTTATACAAATTTCATAATATGGGATATATGGGAAGATACAACTCTTCCTATATCCTAACCCATATTATTTTACGAATTCAGATACAACACTAAGATAATATCGAGCATCCCATTTTGTCTCCCATATTCTTCCTGCAAGTCTCGGGTCAGGCCAGCGGTCAGGAAATACTCGCGCCGTTTTCATCCCTACTTGGATTTTCTATTTTTCAAAAACCCCGACATGTTCAGATTTAAATTTTTCTTTACAATTACACGGAAGATGCACACACACGCACATACAAACAGACGTAACACCATATATATACTTTGATGCCCGTATTTTGATTTCTGCATGCTTTGGTTTGGGTGCTGCTTAAGTGTCTATGTTTCACGTACTGCTACAGATAAGCTGGGATCCCCAAAATTGGATCAGTCCTGGAGCTTGGAGTCTCATCTGAAGATTTTCTGTAGCCATATTCTTGTCAAGCACATATGAATGACTGGCCATATGATTGAGACAAAGAAAAATATTGTTTGACACAATTCGTATCATAGCAAGCAAACACACTACACGCATTCCTAGCACATCGATTTGGCGGGAATGGATTCTAAAATCTCGAAGGAGTGTAGTGTTATCTCTTAAATTTAATTTAAATTGTTATGAAAAAATCTAAAATAATTTGACAATGTAGAGTAGTACTTCCTCCGTTTCGTAACGTAAGACTTTCTAGCATTGCCCACGCATTATTAAACGGATGGAGTAATAACTATCATTCCACTAAAAATAAACTTTAAACTCAATCTACACATTTAGAAGTAAAAAAGACAAATTTGAACTATATTTGTTCATACGTTATTTTTTTTATTTTTAATTTCTTGAGGTGTGAGTTGAGTTTAGGCCTAAGGTTTTGTGGAGTGGTGTATATATATTGAATAAATGTTGTCAAATATTTTGAGATTTTCTTTATAACTATTTGCATGGTGTTTGAGCAAACAATTAGACATTTCCCTCAAGAGTTTAAAAGTATTTTGCTGATTTGCTAGTGGATTAAGATGAAACTACGCTGATCTCTCGAGGATATTCCCGTTAAAAACTATAAAAAAATCCTTTAAAAATTTTGACATTTTTTTTTGCAACATGCAATTTAAGTTCCAAACTCAACTCACACATTGAGAAATAAATGAACAACTGTATATTGAATTTGAATTGATTTTTAGTGGAATGATAAATGTTGCTATATATTTTTAAAAAATATACATTTACAACTTTTTTTTTTACCGGAATGACCGAAGGAGGTCATTCAATGTAATTATTTACAACTATTTGCACACAAAGGTACACGAGGATATATATCTGTCGAGATTAGAATCCGTTTCCCAAATTAAGCAACAATAGTGTTGAAACACATGATCAGTACAAAGTTTCCAATGTGCCTCAAGCTCGGAGCCTACGGATACAGAGTATAAAATTGTTTGGTTCAGTTCTAAATTTTCAATGCACAAATTGGCTCGCGTAATCATTGTCTGAAAAATAGCACATGCTCCTAACAACGCAGATTACAGCACGAAATGGCTGCAAAGATTAAATCTTTATATACACCAGATGACCGGACACATCAAATTGCTCGACTCTTACAAACGTGAGAACAATACTCCGTCCACTTCATATTATAATATTATAAGTCGTTTTGACTTTTTTTACTAGTTAAATATTTTTAAGTTTGATCAAACTGATTGAAAATAAAGTAATATTTTCAACACAAATTAAACATAATATCAAAATATATTCAATGTTACATTTAGTGAAACTAATTTAGTATGGTAGATATTGCTAATTTTTTCCATAAAACAATCAAATCTAAAAAGGTTTGACTAAATTCAAAACGATTTATAATATGAAACGGAGGAAGTAATTAAGAGATCTTTTTTATAAACGTGCAAAAGCTTTGCACATCGATATATGGGAAACTATTTCAACAGCTCGAGTGGACGTCCACCCGTTTATTACATGTCATCTAAATGGTTATAAAAAAATTAAAAAAATATGAGCAAGATAAATCAATATGTAATATATCAATCCACAAACATGCAAGTTAAAATTTAACTTCTACAAGTTGTAACAAAAATAACAAACAAAACTCAAATTATTATATGTATATTTACAATTAAATTTATTGTTTTTGTTACAACTTGTAGAAGTTGAATTTGAACTTGCATGTTTTTGGAGTGATATATTACATATTGATCTATCTTGTTATTTTTTTTTTTGAAAAATTTTTCATAACCATTTAGTTGACATGCAATAAACGAGTGGACGTCCACTCCAGCTATTAGAATCCATCTCCATCGATATATATATTAAAAGAAGATTTTACAACTACGACCTACAGAGTACAACACTATGGTATATGGATGATCATCTCTTTGATCATCAGTACAAGTTCCTAATGTGACAGTATGACAATCTGCAGGACCTGCAGAGTACAGCATTGATGAATCCGAGTTGCCGCTCATCAAGAAGCCGACGCCGCGGCTTGGCCGGCCGCCGGAATTTCTCCGTACGATGCCCTCTACTCCGATGAGTGATCCCGATCAACGTGGTTGTTCCTCGCGCGCCCTCTTCCTCTCGGCGTCGCGGCGGAGCCTCTCCGCTTGCGCTCTGGCGATGAGCTCGCTCATCCGACCGGCCGGAGCCGGAGCTGGAGCTGCTTCTCTCCGGCTCCGGGTCAGCTTCTCCCCCATCTTGTAAGCTTGTTCGGCGACCTGCGGCGGCTGCGGCTCCAATGGTTTGGTGGCCACAGCTTCGACGACGACGACGGGGAGATGGTTTGCTGTGTTTGGGTTGCTGCTCGCGGTGTCGCCGACGCCGCCGCCGTCGGAGTCGGAGTCGCTGCCTGAAGAGGAGGCGGATGTGCTTGATGATCCGGAGGCGTTGCCGCTGCTCGAACCGGTGGTGGTTGAGCTAGGATTTCCTGGCGACTTGTCGATTGTGTCGCCGTCGATGTCGACGAACTCGTCGGCTTCTGGCTTGACGAGCGGCGACGCGTCGAGGAGATCCTCGTGCGCCGGTAGAGGAGAGTCGCCGCCAAAGATGTCGATGAGATCGTCTTCTTGCTCTGCGGCTGCAGGTGGTGATGATAAGGCGAGAGGAGGAGGCTTGCGCGCCGCCGCCGGCAGGGGAGAGACGCCGCCGCAGATGTCCATGTACTCATCGGCGACCTCGCCGTCCTCGAGTCCGCGGGGCGACGTGCGGCGAACGGCGGCCTCGTCGTCGAGCATCTTCCTCAGCTCGAACAGCGCGGCGTCTTCCGTGGAGCCGAGATCGATCTCCAGCTCGTCGTCGTCGCCGTCAACGCCGGGAACCGCGCGCCAGCTGCACCGGCGCCGCATGAAGTCGGCGACGTGCGACGGGAGGATCCCCGCCGGCAGCGACGACAGGAGGCCGACCAGCTGCTCCTTCTGGGCCATGGTCATGGCCTCCTTGTCCTTGACGCGGCGAGGGAGCGGGCGGCGCGCCGCCGCCCCCGCCGCCGCCTTGCGCACCAGCGCCTCCGCCTTCTTGAGGAGGCCTCGCACCGCCTCCATCTCCGACCGGCACCGCTTCCTGAGGAGGGAACCGGAGCCGCCGTGGCCGCGCGGGGAGGAGCGGCCGATGATCTCCTCCATCGCCGGGGACGGTGGTGGTGACGAAGATCTCGAGAGTTCTCGCTCGCTCTCGCCTGGTGGTGGCGGAGCAAGAAGCCAAGAACGTGTGGCGGGAATGCAGGATCGAGACAGGACAAAAGGGCGCGCGCGCCGATCGTTCCCGCCCTTTTATGGCCCGATGGCTGATACCGTCTCCGAGTAAGATTCGAATCGGACTCTCCCAAAAATCCGAGTAGGATTGGTTCGGATTCGGACTGGACACCAAGCCTCGCGCGCTTGCGTAGGATCACAAGCTAGATGGCAATGCGAGTTGGCGAGTTGAAGCAAATGGATAGAGTACAAAATGCAGAGGTTGCGTTAGGAGAAATATGCACCATCCGCTCACAATCTTAGGCCTATGAACAATATCCACAGTATTGAGTGTGATCAGCGCCATGTGCCCGGGGGAATGGTCCGGGCAACCAAGGACGAGAAAATTTCAGATGTGACGACTGATGAATAGCAAGCACCACAGATAAGTTTATTGAGCATAAATTAGACGGAGAAGTCCTCGCTTCTATGCAAATGCTTGTTGGATCTCCATTATATGCAATCTTTATCCAGCTCTCCAGGCAGAACAGGCACAAAAGACAGACCATGCAATGGTGAAGAGATGGCTCAAGGCCATTCATAGCTACCATGGTAAGTCTAGAACCGACTAGTTTCAATATGTAACACCAGTGTGATAGTACAAAAGTTCCATATAACAACAGTAACTCATTGATACATTTGAGTATACATATCCAGGGAAAAAATTGCTTTATACTAGTATCGTATCTGGGGATTCATGTGGAATTTGCCTATCCAAAAAATGTTGTGCCACACTCGTTAGGCCACAGCTGACAACCCTCCCTATCACAAAAGATAATAAAAATGACAAAGGGGAAAAATACATCGATGTTTCTTTCTTTGCCTTTACAGTGTACAATAGTTTATTTCACTCGCCACGCTATATAAACTCTGCTGCCTCCAAGTTGGATGGCAAAAAGAATTGTCCTCTACACTACCTGCAGAAACAAAAGAACATACATTTTCAGAAACTTAGTTCTGGACAGATGAATTAGATAAAGTATCACACCCACAAGGTATCTGACTATTTCATGATTTCCTTCCATTTTAGGAACAAAAAGCTAATTCTGGAACCCATATCAGACTAACTTACAGGTAAAATTTATCAGGTCACTTTGGTCTTAAAACTTATGACCCAATACCCAAACAATGGGAGCTTCGGTTTTATATCAGATATTCAGGTCACACATTTGATGCCGCTATTAATCTATGCGGAGAGTCTGTCTCTGCCTAATTCCCGCAAATCAATCTAGTTATTCTATCCACCAGTTTGTGGGCACAAGCACGTCTCTGTTTACTTGTCCATAATTTCATATCTTAGCTTGTGCCATATTACTAGTCACTAAAGCAAACAAGCCACATCAAACAAACTAAAAGTTCTGGTTAAAGAAGCCATGCGTACCTCAAAAAAATACTTCATGTTGGCAATAGTGGTTGCCTCTCATCAGTTCCAATCCTATGGCTGGCCTGAAATGATAATGTGCAACTAATAATGTAATTGTTCTAACACAAATTAATCTTTTTTTCTTTAGAAATAAATGAGTCACATACATCTTCAGCAGCGCCAGCAGTCATATTTACAAAAGAAGATTCAGATGACCTGCAACATAATATGTATCTTATGAGGTAATGCAACAAGAAATATTTGGAAATTAGCACATATCTAGATGCACAGTACATATTAAAGTCACTATAACCTTGTTTGTCATTTGTTGATTAGAACGAAGGTGAAAACCAAAAAAATATGGCAACAAGTACCATGATCCAACCATTTAAAACAAGGTAGAAACGTACCGATGATTCTGTGTATCTTCCAACTCTAACAATTCAGCTGGTTTGTCATCTTTGGCTTTAGCGAGTGGAGAGAAGAACTGAGAACAGATAGCAGTTATGTATATGGAAGACAAAAAATGTCGTCTCAATGAAATTTAGTTAAGCAGGCAAACTCACCTGGTGCATTGAAATAAACACAACTGATATGCCCAGTAGAAAATTAATGGTCAGGGTATGCCCCAAGAAGGCAGCAGAAGCTAGACCAGTAAAAATTGTTGCAACAGTTGACGAATACTTCTTCAAAATTGTGTCTGCAAATTGATTATAACATTAACAATTTGAAGATATAAATTTATAGAATAATATAGGCGGAACAGCAAATGATAGTGTTTACACAGGAAACTAAAAAAAAGTACGCACGGAATTTACCTGCATACTTGAAGAAGAATGAAGAAAGAATGCCTTGCGCAGCATTATTACATATGAGAAACATCGTAGCCCTTGAATGTCCTCGAAGAATATTGAAACTCTCTGGCCCTGCAAATAGACAGGAGATGATTATGTCAAAGAAATGGTGCTTTGATTGTCAAAACATTAGACAACATGGCGTTCACTAAAGATTATATGAATATGACCACATAAGACAGTTAATGGTTGTCTTATTGTAGAATCTGACGCTGATTACTGATAAAAATATTGATCATGCATGATAACACTCCAAAAAAAATAATTGTACCTTGGAATAAGGCAGTCCCAAGAATGCCAAGGAAGTTGAATATTGCACCATATCCATATAAAAACAAATTCTGCAAAGTATATAAAAAGAACAGTGAAGCAAACAAAAGACAAGAATAATGCGGATAAAAAAAAGAATCATCATATGCCTTATACTACAAAATACAATCTTGGACAACTAAACAAAATAGCTAATACGAAATAAGTAGATAGTTGGATAGAAGAATAAAGATCATTACTCAATAAATTTCCAATACTACGTAATTTACCTGAAGATATATACTAGTATCATATTGGCTTTTCAAGGCATATTCATTGTAGACAGAAGCCAATGATGGAACAGTTACCTACAATGCACAGTTGCAAGAGAATATAAATAATTTTAAAGCATATTGTCTGTTGAGAGAGCTGAGAAAATGAAGTGAAAGAAAATGGAAATCCTAAGAGGTCAAATGGTGTGGAAGCTACTTACAAAAATCAGTGTGTATATGTACGCAATAGCAGTGACAGGAAGGCCAAATGCAGTATTGCCCGCTGGTACAGTACGAAGTTGATTGATGCTGATTCCAATAAGAAGTAGAGCAAGAGCTTCCCACTGACAAAATTAAGGGGGGCAAGAGAGCAGGAGAAAATCAGCATGATTGATGATGCTAGAATGTTGCGTAAGAGCTATGCAAAAGGCACTTTGTCATGTAATATACCTCAGTAACATAGTGAGTTACAAGTAATCCAGATTGAAGATTATGGTCATCAACATTAAATGATAAAACATGGCAATTCTAGTAAAGTACAAGTTGAACCTAGCATTGTGATGCAGACTTATTTGAAACATACCATAAGACCAGTGGAAACTGACACAAAGACAATAGACAAACATTCACTATCACTGCTAGCTTTATTGAGACTCAGCTTTACTATGCAAAATCACTTACAAAATTCTCTCACACTTGATTTTATTTAAGAGTTTACTAATACTCCTAAAGCATCTCTATGTACAAAGTAGCCGAATACTGGCAATATGATTCTATAGAGGATATGTAACACAAAGCAGTGAACACATGACCCAGTAATCTTTAAATTGCACTATAGTGGTAGAAGACTAACAGATGGTATATAGCACAAAAATTTGGTTATATTTACCCCCAAAATGCAACCTATATATATAAAGTCAGAAATAACTGCAACACAACCTCAAGCTTACCTGAATTACGGAGAATCTCCTTTTCATTATAAATTTCAGAAGAACAGCAATGACCAGCACCTAGAGAAATTTGGATTACAAAAGGTATGATATATGCGTATACACACTAATAAGAAAAGCACAACACCTGAGTAGTGCATAAAATATGTACCTTTAGGTTGCTTAGCATTTTCACAGTTGACGGATTGAAGTACAGCTGCATAATCAGCTCAAAAATGTCAGACAACATAAAAATATATATTCATGGATGATGACAATAGAGGGGTATATAGAAGGGCGACAACTATGGCTTCAGATTCACCTGCATGATAAATTTTAGGTAATTGTTGATGGCATACAGAAGGGCCGGAACCGCTAGTAGTGCATTATTACGGGCTGCCTACATATGAAAATGATGGAGAGTCAGATGATCAGACAATGTCACAAAAAGACATGCAACAAGCAGTATTATGTTAGAACATAGGTAGCGGAAACAAATTATTGGTAAAGAAAAAAGGTATTTAAAAATGAGTATGTAAAAAAGTTCTACTGGTGGTTCATATAAGTCATGAAAGCAGAAAACAAATCACCTGGATGAAGGTTGAACGTGCCAGAAGTGGTTTTTCGCCAACCTTTTGCTTTCTAGACTGCCACACAGAAAGCAGCATCGAGAAGGTAAACAAGTAAGAGGTAGGATCATAATGGAAAGTATATAGAAGGCATAAAATGTACATCTGTTGCAGCATAGCAATTGCGAATCTGTAGGACTTCAAATTTTCAAGGAACAGTGAACATGCTGACAAGCTAAATTGCGCATAAAGATAATGAAGTGCAGGTAGCACATAGAATATCAACCGAAACTGCTTTCACATCTTGAAAGGCTGTTGTTGTGATCTTTAGTTCTGCATTAGTTGAGCTTATCAATTTGGAAGATTAGCACAAATTTGCTGCTCCTTCCATTTTTTTTAAATGTGCAATCACTTCTGATACACGAATGTACTATAAGAAATTGGACGCAGAAGAATTGTACCAGAAGAATTCAGTAGGCTGCTCATGTAAGAGTACAAGTGATCTAATGAACTAACAGAGTATTTTACCAATCCAAAGCCATCAAGACAAACTATAAGTGTACTCTACATATCATTTTATAGGGGTTAAATTACTCATCATCAGAATGCAAGCACACCAAGAAACATCAGCAAAAGTACACACCTGGATTATTAGC